AAAGCCTGGTTGTCCCACACTGATAACAGAAAGGAGGTTCCCTGGTGGTGCTGTAGGAGAGGCACTAGACTGGATGATTAACAATACGGTAAGTAATTCAAACCCACCAACCGCTCTGCGAGATGAAGAGAAGGCTTTCAGCTCCTATAAAGATTTACAGCCTCAGACACCCTATACAGGGTTACTGTGACTACTCTTTGGCAGTGGGGTTTTGGATACTTGAAAGGGAAAAGGATCTGATTATCCCATAGTCATTGTATGCCCTCTAGTGGGACAAAGTAGTAAAAATCCTTGTTAAGTGCCCTCTAGAGTCCTGGTGTGGCGCTGGGATCTAATGAGTCAGAATGCAAAGTTGTTTGAACTGCAAGGTCAGTGGTTCAAGTTCACCAGCTGCTCCTTGGAAACCCTATACAGGGTCACTATGGGTCGGAATTGACTTGATGGCACTCAACAAGAGACCTGGTGTGGCGCTGTGGGTTAATTTACTGGGCTGCAAGGTCGGTTTGAACCACGTGATCAGCCATTCAAGTTCACCAGCCTCTCATCGGAAACCCTATTCAGGGTCGCAATTTGTCAGAACCAACTCGACAGCACTTAACAGTAACAACAACAACAAAGTGCCCTCTAATCTTGTTGTGGTGCTGAGGGACAAAACGCTGGACCACAAGGTTGGTGGTTCAAGCTCACCAGCCACTCCTCGGAAATCCTATATAGGGTCACTATAAGTCAGAAGGGACTCACCTGCACTTAACAATAGCAGTCAGTTTGTGAGGCACATAACAACAGTTGACTTCGACACTTAAAGACCCTGTGACACTATAGTATCAGTGCTGGACTTTGAATCACAAGATCAGCAGTTCAAACCTACCAGCTGCTCCTTGGAAACGATGAGTAGGAAACGTCTCAATGGCACTTACCAACAGCAATAGAATTGTCTAGGAACAGCTGGTGGGTTTCAATTGCTGACCATGTGGTTAGCAGTCCAGTGCTTATCCTATAGCATCACACCAGGACTCTCCAGGACTCCTTGGGCAGTATGTAATAACAAAGAGTGAGGTGCTCTATAGACCTTTGTCTTACCTAATAAAAATGTTACATGCAGCTTTTTACAAACCAGTTGATCAGGAGGTAGGGTTTTGGATTGTCCTTGTACGGAAGTAAGAAAATAAGAATGTGAATACAGAAGCAAAACTCCAAACCACCACCCTGGATTTATACAAAGACTTGCTATATAATAGCAGCTTTAATTCCTATAAAAACTTGAGGAAAATTTTTTTTTAATTTTACGTTGTTTTTGTTATTAGGTGCCATTGAATTGGATCCATCTCAGAGTGACCTTATTCATAACAGAACCAAACACTACCCAGTCCTGTGCCACCCTCACAATTGTTACACTTCAGTCCATTGCTGCTGACACTGTGTCAATTGTCAATTGGGGGTCTTCCTCTGTTTCACTGACCTTCCACTTTACCAAGCAATGTGTCCTTCTCCAGGGACTGTTCCCTCCTGGTAACATGTCTGAAGTATGAGACACGAAGTCTCACCATCCTGGCTTCTAAGGAGCATTCTGGCTGTACTTCCTCCAACACAGATTTGTTTGTTCTTTTGTCAGTCTGTGGTACTTTTAATAATACTCTTGTTGTTGTTGTTGTTATGTGCCGTGGAGTCGGTTCCAACTCATAGCGACCCTGTACAGGGTCTCCGAGGCTGTAAATCTTTACGGGAGTAGAAAACCTCATCTTTCTCCCATGGAGCAGCTGGTAGTTTCGAACTGCTCACCTTAAGGTTCACAGCCCAATTCATAACCACTACGCTACCAGAGCCCCTTAATAATACTCTTAGCCAACACCATAACTCAAGTCCATCAATTCTTATTCATTGTCCAGCTTTCACACACATAAAAGGTTATTGAAAATATCATGGCTTGGGTCAGGTGCACCTTAGTCCTCAAACTGGTATCTTTGCTACTGCACACTTTAAGGATGTCTTGTGCAGTAGATTTGCCCAATGCAATACCTCATTTGAATTCATGACTTCTGCTTACATGAATGTTGATAGTGGATCCAAGTTTTTGACAACTTCAGTCTTTTTTCCATTTATCATATTATTTATTGGTCCAGTGGTGAGGATTTTTCTTTACACTGAGGTACAATGCATACTGAAGGATATAGTCTTATAGTACTTTTTTTTTTTATAGTGCTTTTTATTAAGGCAGTTGTGCCTTGTTGGTCAAGCAAACTTGATGGCATATTCTATCTTCAAAATTTATTAATCTCATAAAATTTGGTGAGACACATGGCATCCATAATTCTCAATTTTATGATCCATAAAATAATCATCATAATGTCTAAGTCATACACAGTTTAGACAACTAACTTGTGAAGATTAACTGGGCTATTGTATCTCAAATGCTTGCGGGGGGGGGGGGGGGGGGGGCCTGAAATGTATTACCACCTTCCACATATGGTTATCACTACTATACTGGAATGAGCCTGTTTGGGGTGCAAAGCTACTAGACCCAGACAAAAACTCTCCAACAGGTAAAAAATGTTTCCAGTGCCATTTAATCTCTGGACTGGTGTCTCTCCTGGCCGTGTGCTTCTCTTCAATTCTCATCATCTCTGTCCTTTCCAGCTGCCTACATTCCCTCACTGCAGACCTCCACATCATCTTTCCTCAGCTCCATCATCAAAGATCTTCTATGTGAAAAAGAATTTCAGATTTTCATGAAGTCTAGACTTTCTGGAGCCATTAAAGCTAGTTGAAACTATTTCTAAGGTCTTCTTTAAACCTCAAAATAAACATATCCCTTGAAGTCTTCTTTAAACAATAGCTTAATTAGTGAAGAATTTTGTACATGGGTTCACCTTTGCTGCATATATACTTAAGAACTGGTGAAGTATGTTGTTAAGTGCCGTTGAGTCAGTTCCAATGCATAGTGATGCTCTAATAGGGTTTCTAAGGAGCTGCTGGTGGGTTTGAACAACCAACCTTGTAGTTTGCAGTCCAGTGCTGATTCTACAGCACCACATCAGAAGTTCTGTGGAGGAGCATGTTGTTGTTGTTGTTAAGTGCCGTCGAGTCAGTTCCAACCCACAGCGACCCTGTATAGGGTTTACGAGGAGTTGGTGAGCTTGAACCACCGACCTAGCAGTTCAAACCGCTTTGCAGTCTGGCACATTAACCCACAGCACCACACTAGGACAACAAAGCATACTGGGGGCAAATAAAGAAAACTTCTTAGACATAACCAAACCCCTTAAGGGGATGAGTAGCTGAGCCTGGAGGATCAGGACCGTAGCCTCAGGGGACACCAAGGTCAATTGGCCTAACATAGTGCACAAAGACAATGTTCTACGTCCTAGTTTGCTGAGTAGTGACTGTGGTCTTCAATGTACAGTGTAATTATGGGTCCAGAGGAAAGAAGAGAGATGAAAATCAAAGGCACATAGAAACAATCAGTCTAGTGGACTAATAGACCATGTGAACAACAGTCTCCATGACCCTGAGACCAGAAGAGCTAGATGGTGCCAGTTAGCACTGCCAACTGCTCTGAAAGGGATCACATTAGAAGGTTCGGGATAGAGTGGAAGAAAAATGTGGAAAAAAACTTAAAATCATAAAAAAGACCAGGTTTACTGGTTGGATAGAGACTGCTAGAGCCCTCGAGACTCTGACCCTTAGTCACCCTTTAGGACTGGAAATGAACTCACCTTGATGGCTCAATTTCAGTCAAACTATCGACAGATCTATAAGGGGAACAATAGTGCTAGTAAAGTATGCACACCTTGGTAGCACTGTTTATAAGGTATCAAAGTGACAACAGCAAGTTGAAAGGCCAGACAGGAAGCTTAGGGGCAGTGAGTTTCTGTTAATGGGAAAGGAACAATTTGGAAAAGGAGGCTGAGAACGGCTGCACAACTTGAATGTAGTTCACGACACCTAATTGTATATATAGGAACTGTTAAGTTGGTATATGTTTTACTGTACATATTTCCAACAACAACATCCAACGTATCTTTTACATGTAGCCATTCTCATTCTAGGGACATTCCAATGAGAAAAGGATGAGAATATGAGGAGAAACCAGCAAAAGAGGCTGAGAATGTGTGACAAATGCAATCACAGAGAAACCAGAAGAGTGTGCTACCCTAGAGGTCAAGTAAAGAGTATTTCAGTGCAACTACTGAGGGAAACGGTATGATGCTTCCTTAAAAAGCTGGAAATAGAAATGCCTATGACCCAGCAACCCCTCTATATGTCCAAAGGAGCTCTAGTAGCATAGTGAGGCTGCTAGGCTCAAGGTCAGCAGTTCGAAACTACCAGCCGTTCCACAGAAGAAAGATGAGACTTTCTGCTCCCATAAAGATTTAAAGCACCGGAAACCCTACTCAGGGTTGCTATGAGTTGGAACCGACTCCACGGCACACTACCACCACCATGACCCAGCAATCCCTCTACTTGGTATATGTCTAGAGAAATAAGAATGGCAACATGAATAGATACATACACACGTGTGTACATCGCAGCACTATTCACAATAGCAAAAAGAACAATAAACACTTAAGTGGTGCTCTTAATTTTCTTTATTTTCTAATAATTATTTAAACTACTCTACAACATGCTCTATAACATGTGTTTTAGGAAATGTCTGCAAAATTTGGGAAAGGAATTGGATCCCATTTATCTACCATCAAAACACCATGCAACCAAACACACTTTATTAGATGATATTTAGAACTGTGGAACTCTTTATAGGTATATTTTAATTCTATAAATCACACTAAGAATTCACATCAAGCATATAAGTCTTTACATAAAATAACACACATTTCTTCTAAACCTTTCCAGACTGAGTCTTTTTTGTTTTTTCAGAAATTAAAACAAAACTCAAATCTCCTTGCCCAGGTCACAGCCTTGAACTTATTTACGGGAGATTTGTATAACTCTTCCAACTGTTCCTCAGATTCTTCATCTAGGGATACCAATGGTTCTTCTCATCATAGGTAGAAGAGGGAATTGGCTAATTCCAAACTTGGTTCTTTATGAATGCTTTGTGCCACCAGAAAGGTCAGCTTATGTGCATACTGGCAAGGTGCTGGGATACTGATTAAGCCCTGAGGAAGAAATTAAGAGGATAATTTGGTCTTAGACAAAGTGATCTTTGTTTTTTTCCCTCTCAGAATGAACTATATTACACATGAATATGCAATACAATGTGTTACTAAGTAGCTAACAATTAAGCTAATCAACGGAGAAAAGATTGGAATTGTCAAGGACTTCATTCTTCTTGGATGGTCTATCAACACTCAAGGAAGCAGCAGTCAAGAAATCAAACAACGTATTGTATTAGGAAAATCTGCTGCACAGGACCTTTTAAAAGTGTTGAAGAGCAAAGGTATCAACTTGAGGACTGAGGTGCACCTGACCCAAGCCATGGTATTTTCAATAACCTCATATGCGTGTGAAAGCTGGACAGTGAATAAGGAAGACCGTAGAAGAATTGATGCTTTTGAGTTATGGTGTTGGAGGAGAATATTGAAAGTGCCATGGGCTGCCAAAAGAACCAAAAGATCCGTCTTGAAGGAAGTGCAGCCAGAGTGCTCCTTGGAAGCCAAGATGGCCAAACTTAGTCTCTCACACTTTGGACAAGTTGTCAGAAGGGACCAGTCACTGGAGAAGGATATGATGTTTAGTAAGGTGGAGGGTCAGAGAAAAAGGGGAAGACCCTCAGTGAGATGGATTGACCAAGTGGCAGCATCGATGCACTCAAGCGTTGCAACAGTGGTGAGGTTGGTCCAGGATTGTGCAGTGTTTGGTTCTGCTGTGCATAAGGTCGCTATGAGTCAGTACTGACTAGATGGCACCTAACAACAACAACAACAATTAAGCTCAAGAGGCAACCCTGATCACTAATAACATAAACTCCCTGGGCAATATGGGAGAAGGGTAGTGTGGGGGCTGGTCTGGCTCCATGCTGGATGCCATCACACAAAGGACAAATCTATTTGTTGCCTCTGAGGTTCAGAGCAAATCTTGGACTTGGACTTTGAGAGCAGGTCTTGGTCTACTGCACCAGAACACAGGACATTAACATCTACCTATTAGCACATTCCCTCCAAATATACAACTTCCTCATCATCTGTAGCATGGAAATACTAATACCTACCCTGATTTCCTAACAGGTTCGCATAAGATAATGTACATAAAAGTCCTCTTGTTATCATTCTTAACTGCCATTAAGTTGATTACAATTCAAGGCAACCCCATGTGTGCAGAGGAGAACTGCTGCACAAGGTTTTCAAGGCTGTGACTTTCAGATGCAGATCATCAAACCCACATGAGTTTAAATTGCCCACCTTTCAACTAACAGCCAAGCGCTTAGCCTTCGGAGCCACCCAGGCTTTCAAAGGTTCATTGGACATTATGTAAGTATTAATATATAAATATTTCTTATAATAGTTATTGTATTTTGTTTCTATCACAGATTGAGAGTTTGTCACTGTGAGCTTAACGTGTTAGTCACTCATTTTCATTTCTCACTTGTGAAAAGTCAGGCACTGGGCTAGGCTTGGAATGCAAGGCATAGTGGGTTACATGTTGGGCTGCTAACCTCAAGGTCAGCAGTTCGAATCCACCCTCAACTCTGCTGATGAAGATTCACAGGCTTGGAAACCCTCATGCAGGGCTGCTATGAATCAGAAATGACTCTATGGCACACCACCGCCATTTACATAATTGCAAAGCTTTCACTTACCGACCAATTGTAGTACAGGTGGCACAGTTTGAATGTAAGTCTCTGCATATGGTCTGGCATCAAACCATTGTCATCATAAATGACATTATAGTAGGTAGGATTAACAGTTCCCTGATGGGCTACCTGGCTGATCAAGTAAAAATCGTACCTGGAGGAAAACAGAATGAATGTGGAAAATAAGGCAAACAGAATAAAGCCAAACTTAACACATATTAGACGTTTTCTAAAAAAATTAATTTTGTCATGGTACTGGTGTGGCACTGTGGGATAATGCACTGGATTGCAAGGTAGGTTTGAACTGCATGGTTGGCGATTCAAATTTACCAGCCACTCCTTGGAAACCCTATACAGGACGCTATGAGTCAAATCCGACTTGAAAGTGCTTAACAACAACAACAACACTTGCCAATCAGGACGGGTTGCTTCTGAATCCACGACAGTACCAAGTGGCGGGTTCTGCACAGCATGGTTCATTTCCATAAAGAATCGTGGCATGCACTTCTTCCTCACCACAATCACCGACAGTTTGGAACTTGGAAAAAGAGGCAGAAAATAATGAGAGAACAAACACGGAGGCATGTAGTTTTCTATTTATTTAGTTGCGGTAAATTCTTTACTAAGTAGAAATTAGAAAAACACTGCAAAACAAGGACTAAAAATTACTTACAATCCCTCCTCCCCAAGAAATATGACCTGTAATTTTTTTAATTAGGGATTTTCCTCATGTGTCACAAAAGAACAGTGCACTCAGTCATTTGCCTGCTGGATCTCATATAAAGAGGAAGAGGATGGTTAATAGGACAATGAACTTCTATTAGCACTTCTGAAGAGATTTTCCAGAATTTCCATGGAAAAGTTTTGGGGCTTTGCTATTAATATAGTTATCAATTCATTTCCAAGTAGCAAAAGAAGAACCACTATTTCCCTTGATTCCTCAAATTCCCCCTCTTGAATTACACAAAACTTTACTTGAGTGGATAACCTGAATACACACTTTGGCCTAGTGAGGAATTACCAAGTGTTAGAGTTAGCGTTTGGTACAGCCATGACCAAGTCCAAACTCAAGGAGGCCTCCAACGTTCATGGAAAAATGGAATTAAAAGATAATGAAAATTTCCCACGTACTTTTTAAAAAAGTTTTTATTGTGAATTATGTAGGTTTACATAGGAGAACATCAGTTTTACATTCATCCTATCGTATTTCATTTCATTGCAATGATTACAATCCCCTCCATGCATCATCAAACAACCAAAGGGTATACCCCACAGGCCTGCGCCCCTGGCCAGCAGCACACAGTCCTTCTCCCTCCCTGAGTCCAATGTCCCCAGCCACTCCATCTGTCCATGTCCTCATCTCTGCCTCCATTTCTGGTGTCACTGCTTCCCTGGTAGGGTCCTGCACTCCGTTCTTCTCACTTGGTGGTCCCAGGGACCACTGGACTGCAAAATCAGTCACTCCCCTCCTTTTGTTACAAAACATCTACCTTTACATTTCCAACCTCACAGTCAGTCCTGATAGCAATTATTCACTATTGTACTACAGGAGTCTTATCCCCATCTCCTTTTATTAGCCCAGTGGTCGCAACAAGTTAGAAATCATTCAAAGGAGATTCTACCTTCTCCCGCCTCATCTGGAACTAGGCTCCCTCTTGAAAGCTTATAAGCCAGTCACTTCTTGGCTTTGTAGCTCCTGCCCTCCCCCCGTTTGGGGTAATCAATGTCTAAGTTGCCAAATCCCATGTACTTTTTGAAGCCCCTTCATATTTGCCACAATGCAAGGATACCAGGATCACTGTGAAATTGCACTTTAAAAGTTTTAATTATTAAAAAACAAATTGTTACTAGTTTTATTTTTGTGTGTGTTTTTTTAATATTGAAAACTCTTTTAAAGTTGCAGAAATCAAACTGACTACATCTGTGGAAAGAAATGATGGAAAAGCTCCACATCATCAGTCAAAACAAGGCCAGGGGCAGATTGTGAAATAGACCATCAATTGCTCATACACAAATTCAAACTGAAGCTGAACAAAATGAAAACAAGTCCACAAGAGCCAAAATATGACCTTGAATATATCCCACCTGAATTTAGAGATAATCTGAGGAACAGATTTGATACATTAAACACTAAAGACCGAAGACCAGAAGAATTATGGGATGACATCAAGAATATCATATACCATATCAAGGGAGAAGAGCGGAGTGCGAGACCCTACCCAGAGAAACAGTGACACCAGAGATGGAGGCAGAGACTATGACGTGGTGAGATGGAGTGGCTGGGGACTCTAGACCTAGTGAGGGAGAGGGGCTGTGTGCTGACGACCACGGGGCAGGCTTGCAGGGTGTACCATTTGATTGGTTGATGATGCATGGAGGGGATTGTCACCATGGCAATGTAACAATATATGACAGTATGAATGTAAAGCTAATGTTCTCCCATGTAAACTATCACATAATTCACAATAAACATTAAAAAAAAAAAAGAACATCGTACATGAAGAAAGCAAAAAGTCATTAAGAAGAAAAGAAAGAAGGAAAAGATCAAAATGGATTCAGAAGAGAGACTTCCACTTGCTCTCTAGCATAGAGATTCCAAAACATATGGAAGAAATGAGGAGGTACAAGAGCTGAACAGAAAATTTCAAAGGTCAGCTCAAGAAGACAAAGTCAAATATTACAACAAAATGTGCAAAGATCTGAAGTCAGAAAGCCAAAAAAACAAGAACACACTCAGCAATTCTCAAGCTGGGGGAACTAAAGAAAAATTCAAGCCTTGGTTTTCATTATTGAAGGATTCTCTGGGCAAATTATTGAATGATGCAGAAAGAAGCAAAGGAAGATTGAAGGAATACACAGAGTCACTGTATCAAAAGAAAATTGTTGATGGTCAACCATTTCAAGAGGTAGCATATGATCAAGAGCCAATGA